CCGCGCAGGCGGCGGCTCTCGGAGCAGCTGGCGCACACCCCCACCTCCTTCAGGAGGGACCCCGAGGACCCGTCCGCTGTCGCCCTGAAGGAGCCCTGGCAGGAGAAAGTCAGGTAGGGCCGGACGGGGGACGCGCGTGCGGGGCCGGTGGCGGCGCTGCAGGGAAAGTGCTCTCTGATTGACCCCTAAATAACCGTGGCCTCAGCTTCAGGCCCTGCTCGTCCCCAGGGTGGGTGGTTGACTGGGGACCCGGGGAGGGCGGTGGGTGTGCTGGAGGAGGGAGAAAATCCACGGCAGATTTGCTGCTCTTGGGTCAGGCTTGGAGGGGCTTTACCAGGTATTTATAGACGTCCCATTACGTCAGAAGAGTTTGGCCTGTCCCAAAATAAACTCATTCGTGTTCCGGCTCTAAGGTGTGTGTCCAGCCCCCAAATTTCTCCTGGAGCAAGAGGGAGAGAGGAGCCCTCTGGGCTCTGTAAACTTGGGGTAACCTTGTCCACCTTGTTCTGATGGACGGGCTGGGGGAGTTCATTCCCTTTTACTGTTCTTGGGGGTGGTTGGTGGCTCAGGTGGGGTTTGCACCGCGGTTGGAGGGCTCGGTGTGCGGCTCTTGCAGTCCTGGGCGCTGGAGCTCGTTCTGCTCCCGTCCCAGCTCAGCGTTTCCAGCGGCTTTCCTTGCCCTCGAGCCCCTGGCGAGAGGCCTCCGGGCCGACTTGCTGCCCACCCTCCCTTTCCTCACGCTCCTGTCCTCACCCATTCCCTGCAGGAGGATCCGGGAAGGGTCTCCCTACGGCCACCTGCCCTCCTGGCGCCTCCTCTCTGTCATTGTCAAGTGCGGGGACGACCTCCGGCAGGAGCTGCTCGCCTTCCAGGTCCTCAAGCAGTTGCAGGTGAGAGGGGAGAGGGGCTGCCCACGGGAGCCGGGGCTGCATCCTGGGTCCTGAGGGATTTTCTCGCTCTCTCCCACAGTCCATCTGGGAACAGGAGCGTGTCCCGCTCTGGATCAAGCCATACAAAATCCTCGTCATCTCCGCCGACAGCGGCATGATTGAGCCAGTCGTGAATGCTGTGTCCATCCACCAAATCAAGAAGCAATCCCTGCTTTCGCTGCTGGATTATTTCCTGCAAGAACATGGCAATTACAATACCGAATCCTTCCTGACGGCCATAAAGCCATACAAAATCCTCGTCATCTCCGCCGACAGCGGCATGATTGAGCCAGTCGTGAATGCTGTGTCCATCCACCAAATCAAGAAGCAATCCCTGCTTTCGCTGCTGGATTATTTCCTGCAAGAACATGGCAATTACAATACCGAATCCTTCCTGACGGCCCAGAGGAATTTCGTGCAGAGCTGTGCCGGTTACTGCCTGGTCTGTTACCTGCTGCAGGTCAAGGACAGGTGGGTCCCCGCGCCGTACCTGGGTCTTTTACCGGGATTGATTGTTTTGTCCCCGGGTACAGCGGGGAAATCTGGGAGCAGAGGCGGCTGCTGCTCCCGGGGCCGTGCACGCGCCCGCAGAGTTTAAGGGGAAGTTTTCCCTCTCCCGCACAGGCACAACGGCAACATCTTGCTGGATGCGGACGGACACATAATCCACATCGACTTCGGGTTCATCCTCTCCAGCTCCCCCAGGAATCTTGGCTTTGAGACGTCTGCCTTCAAACTCACCACGGAGTTTGTGGATGTGAGTCGGG